AGTCGAGTGGTGGTGCGTTGAAGGGGGAGGATTGTACGGATCATAGGACAGAGTTAACGTTCGTCGAGGTTTATATAGCCAACCACAATGCCTACAAGGAATGTAATCAGGTGAGCTCGCTATGACCGACCGAGACGGAGTTGGGCGACCTTGGCCGAGTTGGGCCCTACCATCCCACGACTAGAGTGGTTCTTTGTAAGCGACTCGCTCGTTTTGGGTCACGAGTGGACACGACGCATAATACGGCATCACTCATCTCCAAGAGATGATGAACGAGATGAGCAAGTTTTCTCCATTCTGTCGCGTAATGCCATTATCATTCGGCTGATCCCGAGCTGGATGATCGTGGGGTAATTCGGATCCGATTAGGTTTGTGTATACAGTTCACCTGACTGAGATAGGTGATTATTGAAGCGTCAGCCTGGCTATTATGACAAACTAGGTGACACGACGATGACCAAGTGTGCATGTTTCGACGCGTTAATGAACCGTATTCAAGAGAGGCTTATTGACAGCAACCACAAAGTTCAATGAAAACATTATATCAACTGTAAAGATCTGTATACTCTAGTGGCTTATCTACAAGTTACAAAGCGACGAGGGCCCTCGATCTTTTTCTTCTTTTCTTCATCGGTTTTCTCGGTACGTTTGCACAAAATATCGGACAAAAAATGGAATAATAAAAACGGCGTGTAGAATTTATCGAGCTTGCTGGCCCAGTCGTAGGAATATATACGTCTTCTCGCCTCAGCCTAGGCAATCTATTCGGTTTATAGGTGTGCGTCTGTGCCCGGGGTTCGGAGGGGAGTGTCGGCACCTAGCATAACGATACGTTTAGGAATCGGCAAGTCGACCAATTGGAGCATGGCGTCGACCACCTCGTCAGCGCTGGTAACGTGCCAGGCAGCGAGTGTCTTCTTGCTCGACGAACCGACGGTGGTGGAGAAGAGACCCTTTTGTGTCAACGAGAGGGTAACAGGATCTTTGGCTGCATCTTCTCCATCGATGAGTTTGGCCGAGGCGGGCGGTTGCATCACCGCTTGTGTGGTGGTGGCCGTAAAGAGAGTGCAAAGGGCGCGGAACATGTCTTCGTCGGTCTACAAACAATCCAGTCAGCACGAGGTTCATCTTCACTTTTAAATAAAAGCAGTACCTTGTCATCACCAGCGCAGAATACAAATTCGGCATTGGGATTATTGTACAGGATACGCTTGACGATCTCTCCCTTGTTGACAGCAATCGGTCTGACTTCTAGGTTCTTCTTACCAACAAGCACTATAATTAATGCTATCAGCTTACAGTGCAACACGAGTAACAACTAGGACGTACCCTCAATTGGTCGCTTGGGCACAAGGTTGTTCTCGAGCAAGTCGAGACATTGCTTGCATTGGAAGGATCTGAACGAACCATAAGAGACAGTTCGAAATAACTCATAGGCTCCACTCACCCCCACTCGGGATCAGCCGCACGATAGTGCCAGGTGATGGAGCTCTTCTTC